CTGCAAACCAAACTCAATTTTATGGATTTGAGCTACATTCGCGGTTAACTAGTCCTTGTTTTGAAATTAATCGTGACCCAATGCCAGGCGTTTCTATTTATGTGAACGTTTCTTCAGGCAGTTTTCAACAACAACAGCATTTCAACAACAACAGCAAGATAATTGTTTTCATTGCTTATAATTAACCAGTGATAAAGAAAATCCTTGACATTTCGGTTGCATATTGTTGGCCCGGAAAACACATTACTACACATACGTCCAGATCTGAATCAATGCTTTGGCAAGTACAAAGTAAGTCAAAATAAATCACTGCGGCTCATTTTTGGTTATATTTACATTTTAAAACCGTAGAGGCAACTTAATTGGGAAAAATATATTCTTTAGAAATTTATTACTAATAATCTTATTCTAAAAGTAAAAAGTATTTTGAATTTACAATTGAGCTGCTATAATTTATTTTGACTTGAACTGTGCCTGCCATTCAATCACTTTTATCCATAGATGGACAAAGTTTTGTTTGAAGCACTGTAGTCATGAAATTTTGCTTAGGTAGTAAAAATTTTGAAAATATAATGCAGACAGATTACAAAGGTTTTTTGCTAGACAATTATGGACTTAAAATATTTGTTAGATACAGTAGCTCTTTAATATTCTACTAATATAATGTGAAGTTGTTAATTTTTATTATTCGAATTTCATAACGTAATCGATACACCCGAAACCATGACAACGCATCTTATACCATCCAATAATATCAACTCAACTACTAACCAACCAATCAGACGCTCCAAACGCCTACAAAATCTTTGTAAATAATATATATTCTTACATTCTGACGAAGGCTCAAAGCACCGAGTTGGAAGCTTAATAAAAAATTTAAAACAAATCCAGAGAATCCTTATCATTATCATATATTTATATATATCTTATTTTTTATTCTATTTGTATTTAATGTATATATGTATATCATAACAGTCTCACTCTCTCTTTTTTTTGTTTATTGCCGTTGACTGCCTCAAAACGACCCCCGGGTTTTTTTAATTATAAATTGTATTATGACTATTTATAATTCGGGTAGGGGTTTGCTCGAGATGTTTGTGACAAATTCGATTGTGTTGGAATGGATTTGTTTGTATGATCTTGATTCTTTTAATTTTTGATGAAGTTCATGACGTCGTTTTGTTTTATATGTGGATGTTGCTTTTTTCATGGCTTAATTTATTGATGATTTGGCGTCTGGTTGTGTAGTAGATATATATTACATTGTCTTTTTATGTAATGATCATCGGAAGGAAAATTTCATTGACACATAGTATGAATTTTGATATTCAGATTTTCTTTTGCTTTTTAAAAACACGTGAGCTTTACTGTCGTCGTTAAACAATTCGTCCCAGATCCTCTTTTGCACACACAGACAATTTTTTGACAATAGAGTCAGGAAAATCACAGTTCAACATAGTCGCAATGCATCCATTTACACAATGTTTTTTCAAACAACAGAATCTATCCAACTTACTCAGGCTTTGTTGACATTTTCTTGCTTTTATACTTGAGTAAAACATGTGGAGATGCAAAGGTGCAAACATGCTTTATTGACTCTTATAAACACCCTCAGAACATGTTTGACAGTTTTAGGGCAGATATTGCAACGTCTATAAAACCCAATATTTTATTGTCAGTTGCTTAATAAAATTATGCTATTTCAAATAAGGGTCTCAGGAAGCCATCAGACACCGACATCACGGTCTCATCAGGCTCTCAGACACCGACAAATTTTAGAGTGCGAGTTTTACTAATTGGATGCACATTTAGAATTTAACATTCTACATGAAAGTTTATGAATAATTAAATGTCAAATTTTAAAAGTGTTCCCATTTTTTCTAATCAATGACCAAACCTCACTCCAACATAATGTAGTCAAAAGGCAAAAAAGCAATTAAAAAGAACAAACAGTTAAGCGGCTACATTACGAGACTAGATATTGTGCGTGATCATACGCTGAAGAACATAGAACACGGGAAAATCTTAAAACCTCCTCTTTCCCATTATGAAAATATATAATGGTGGTATATTTTTGCCAAACCTCACTCCCTTCAAATAGCCCTTCAAATCAATTTTTTCCTGTCTACCCTAAACAATTTTTTTCTATATTCAAGTTTGTGCTTGCTAGGTTGTTTAAGTTGTCTATTTCTTATGCAACTCATTTTCTCTGTTTCCCTAGTTTAAATATATTTTGCCTTAATAGATATATAGTTTTTCTGTTCCAACCGAAGGTCACACATGCTAATAGAAAGACTGGTAACAGTTAACAGAAGCGAAATCATTCAAAGTTACTGAATTGAAAATATACAAAATTAACTCAATTACTTTTTTTAGTTTGACCAAATTTGTCGAGCTCTATTGTGTGGGGTATCGCTGTCTCCCAGACAACTCAGGGACTATTAATGATTGACATTCGAGCGAGACATATACTTAAATGCATGTTCTAGTTTATTATTTCTTTTATTGAAATGAGTTGTCTCAAGGCTGAAACATATTCATGTTTGTATGTTATATTCTGCAGATAGCAATGGATTTCAAAAGGCAAGTATATCAGTATATCTTGCATATATTAATATGATATTTATTTGCTAACACAAAAGCTGCAGTGCCATAACTAGGGTAACGTCAGCTAGAAGCAGAGTTATAATTTGCTATGTGGCAAGCCACAAGAAGGCAAAAATGTAACACTCGAGAATAACAAATTTTTTTAAAATTAGTTCTACTTCTCATATCGATATTTTATCTCAATTCAGTCGTTTGACAGTTTACTCGGATCAAATTTAGAATGCGCCATTTTCCCAGTATATTTCTTTTCAGGTGATAAGGGAGTTTTTGAAAAAAATTCAAATTCCTTGTTTAATGTACATATTGCCAATATTAAGACCATAACATTATGTTTTCTTTTGGTCTTTATTATAATTTTTATGGAATTTTTTCATAGAAACAAAAAAAATGAATCAAATGCAACAATACTTTAATCATACGGCGAAAATTCTACTCTATATACATGTATCATAATTAGGACGATGTTTGTCGCTAGAATTTCCTATTTTCCTTTGACATTATTTTTTTGCCTCCATTTAAACTTCTACTGCTTTTACGTTTGAACTGTCTAATATTTAATTCCAGTCATTTCGTCTCTTTTTTCTTCCTGGCTGGGGACCATTTTCCTCCCTATCTTCTTCTTGTCGATTTCTTTCAAATACGTTTTCATCTCCTTTGGTATGTTTATATTTTATGTAACTTTTTCTTTTCAAAAATACGTGAGCGTTATCGTCATCGAAGAAATCATTCCCGATCTTTCTACGTTCAGCCAAACATTCTTTCTTGACGATGATAACAAGGAAGAGAACAGTCAAACAAGTTCGCAACGTCACCATTTTTGGAACTTCTTTGCACAAACGTGAATATTGTGTTTGCACCAGCTTATCAGTTATGAGCAAGAACGGAAAACTTTTCTGTTTTTACACGAGTTTCAAAGCCTCAAGGTGCAAACATGTTTTTCAAGTTCTTTTAAGGTCAAAAAAATGCTTTAAATGCTCTTTTAACCTCTAAAAGAACTACTTTAGGGCAAATATCGAAAAACTCTTAAACGCTGTCCGGGTTTATAAATGCCATTTATCTATTTCTGAAATGCTATCAACACTGAGTTGTTTGTATTCTTGGTTTATTTTTTCCTGCTTAGGTCTTTGTTGGCATTCTAGGATACTCTATATTGAGTAAATATAAAATTTTTATAATTTTATAAAGCTAATGACAAATCTTTTAATGTATTACATATCAATTTATTTTTATATGAATATCGAGGTGATAATGAATTAAGTCGAAAATATTTTGCGTTGGAGTTAAAAACGCTACAAATATATAGACCACAGCTTTTTGAGCATTATAAGATCGACTATTTATTAATAATGAAAGGCAATATAAAGTATAATATAAATTAACAACTTGAACAGCTGTTTTTTCTTATGACGCATTTTATCATTTTGCTAATGCATTGTCTTTGCTATCTCTTTGTGTATGCTAAAGTGTTCATGCCGCCTGTGTTTCCAAACCTTTCCTGGTTTTTTTATTAAGACAAATTTATAGACTTTTTGCACCAGCCATATTGCTTCCTGCTCCTATCTTCAAAGATTTACAACACTCAGATTCATTGTGTTTGTTCTCTCTATCTTAAAGAGAACATGCTCTCCTTTTTATACGATTTTTGCAATTTATGTTTCTTATTTCAACATTCTTTCTCTGTTCTATATGTTGTTCAACTTTTCTAACCTGATCTCTTAATTCTTAAGTTTTTCGGGCTATCAATACAACCAGTTTCTTACATTATTGGCTTTTTGTGTTTTCTAAGGTGTCAAAACAGCAAAAAAATTTTAAGAAACACTGCTCTTCAAGGTTTTAAAATATATTTAGGTCATGTGTGTATATACGTGCAATATATTTTAAAGTCCATATGCAATTAATTTTTAGCCTTCGGTTATATTGATATATTTAAAGATCTTGTCTCGTAGAGTTAATTTTTGCAATCAGAATTTTAATTTTACAAAAAGAAACTTTTCTGCGATCCTGCAAAACTTCAATTTTCAGCAATTTTAATGCGATTTTTTTGATCGGTATGTTAATGAGTTGTGACGTAAATAGTTGAACACATATATCAACATGACATATTATGCTAATAATCTTAATAAAAAACGGGGCGAAAAACGCTGTGTTACTGGCGGACCTAGTCCAGTTAGTTGCGCTAAAAATTTGAAAACCGAAGGAATATTTTTCCTAATATAGAAACAGATTTACAAAGATAACGAATGTGAGTATACTTCGTGCGTAAACAAAGACCTGGTTTTGAAACAACCTCAACAACATGTCTTTTTTCTGCGCATTTTAGAGAATCGTGCTTTCATGAAAATCAGAGTATTGTGGTCAAAGTGAAATGTCAACTAAATATAGATGCAGTTCCTACAATTGATGTGGCTGGAATCGGTAAACCAGTTAATGACGAGATGACCGACTGAGAGCGAAAACAAGTAAGTGTTACATAAACTGACGTAAATTTGTAGTTGATGTTAGTTATATATAGCGGCCTTTAAAAGTTTTAGATAGCCAGAAGCATTGTTATTTAACCAGTCTTGGAACTGATTCATAATCTTGCAAATTTGCGAATTACAGCTTTCGTATCATTAAGCAAATGTATGTATTATACCAGAATTTTTGTGGTAAGTATACCAACAGTTTTTGCTACATGTTTTTTATGCCATAGAGACAGTACTACTGAAAAAAATATCATACTTCAGTGCTCTCTTTTCATAAATCTACTGTGGAGATAACCACAATTAAGGTGATGTTATATACTATTTTGTGTCTTTTATTTATGCTTTTATTAATTAGTTGTATTGTGTTGTTTTTTTTTTATGAGGTTAACGAGAAAGAAGCTAAAGGAACTAATAAACAGTCATAACAAATCAAAATGAAAAGAATTAATACATTATTTTAATTTCAAAGTACACAAATTGTTGCATAACATGATGGAGGAAGGGGCACACCAAATGATGAACTTATTAATAAGTAAGTTGATATGGTGCTACAATTGTATTCCAAAACATAACTTTTTCATATTTAATAAAAATTGTCATTTATCAACATCTAACTATTATTTTACTCACTATGTGAGCATTCTCTTCTGTGATTGGTCATCTACCGGCAGATAATTCTCGATATCTGCAGGTTATGACGTCTACCTACAGATAGTAGTTTCTACAAATATGGACGACAGTAAAAGCCAGTTTTGAAAACAAATTGAACAACAGCGATTTTTACCACAGTTTCTAAAAGCGATGCAAAAGCTTTTAAATGACAAAGATGCCGAAAACACTAAATAAGCGGCGAAGCTGGCTTTAAACACTTTAACAACATATTTAAACGAGATGAACTTGAATAAACCGTCTGACAAAAACAAATCAACGAAGGTTTAAAAAATTTTTTTATCGATATGTTTTGATATTATTGAATTCGTTTTTCGCATGAAATCAAGAATTGTTCAGACCTCAGCTTCGCTTCGGCTATTACTAACGACATCGGTCTAAATAATATTTGACATCATGGTCAACCTCATGCAATAATTGCTTCTTATTCCTTGAGCACTCGTTTGAAGTCATATAGCTTGTTTTGTTTTTTGTTGGACATGTTTTTCTGCGCGATGTGATGATAAACACATCCGGGTAACTGTCTGCTGTTTTCCCACTCCCGTGACCAACACAACCATTTAAATAGCCATCGATTTGCAACATCTCTCAAGTATCTACAATAACTGAAGACTCCTTATATCTCAGGCAGTATTAAACAACCTCATATGTGATTTAAAAGTAGTTTCACTAAGTCGTTTAATATTGTTATGGTCTACGTCGAGAGGCACGTCAAAGGCTCAAGATTTTCAAAAAATGAATGGTGCACTATATTGAAAAAATCTTTATGCTGGGTAATACAATATATTTTCTCAATGCTGCCATCATAGTTCATAACACATCTTGTGCATAGCAGGTCCCAATTCTCTGTATTGCCTATACTCTGGTACCCTTTCCAGTAACTCTACATGGCATCAGTGACAGGAACACCTGTAAGTGCAAGCAATACAAATGAAGTCTTGATGGACAAGTAACTCAAACTAGTGCAAGCAATCCAGTACGAATTTAAAAGATTACATTGTGCAGATATCACCATTCGGTAAATGGAATAGGGGCATCACCTCCTTTTTCTAAAACAAGACATCTTGAGATTACAAAATACGAATCAAAACAAGACGAGAAGTGCACGGTAAATTTTCTACTATTTTTCAAAGTCATCTTCAGACAGAATTATATTCAAAGCCATACATACACATACATATTTACAGTGAATGAATTAAGTAACAGAAGTCAAGCAATAGAAATTAAACAGTGTGATATTTACAAAGGCAGAGTTGTAAGAGGTGTAGTATTTCAAAAGGATGAATTGAAACTGCAAACCCTACTGGTAGAATGAGTGTGTTATAATTTAACAAAAGAGTTGTAATTCTTTGCTAGCCTTAAGTCCCGTTTTTAGAAAAGGTTTGTTATGTTTGATGAGAATTGCTTCAAGAAAAGCAAGAATGTGGTAGTTGTTCGATTTGGTTGAGTGAAGTACTTTATAGTTGTTGAATAGAAGGTTTTGTATAGGAGATGGGGTTCTGGGAGGTGAAGGGAGATCATTGAGTTGTAAGAACTGTTTTGTAGAGTGGCTAGAAATTGAGCGTTTTCGCACTCAAAGAAATGCTGGCCAACTGCACGAGAAGAGACCTTGGTTGCATGTTCTTTCAGCCGTACAGACCGGTATCTTTGTGTCATGCCGATGTAGGTTTTATCACAGCAAGGGCAAGTTATTTCGTTGAAAAGATTACTGCCAGAAAGTGAAGGAAGTTTGTCGTTGTTAGAGACAAAATAGGAGAGTTTTTCGTGTCATAAATAGCAGCAAATTTCACAGGTTGATAAATATAACTTTGTATTTTCTTAAAACAGGACTTTGAGAGGAAATGGCCACGCATGCCAAAATAAAGAATACGAACCCAGATTTTAGGTAGATTATCATTGATTGAAATGTGGTTGTCAATGGGAAAAGAATCATTGTTTTCGGATTTTAGCTTTTTAAGCAAAAAGTTTTAAACGTTGATAGGATAACTGTTCCAAGACATTTAAGACTTGATTATTTCAATTTGACTGTTGAAAAGTGTTTTATTACTACAAATTTTGAAGAGATTTTACCCATACAATTTTTTGATGAAAAGATTCGAAGCTAGAGAAATGTGAGCACTGACCAGTGTGGGTGTCTTTTCGGTAAATGTCAATTCCATCAGCATAAATTTTTATATCTAGAAAATGAATTATGACATCGTGAAATGTATAATCTGTGAATGTGAGATAGTATCAAAACTGTTTCATTTAGATAAGACGGCGGAAATATTGGAGGTTTTGATCAAAACAAGCGTATCATTAAGGTAACGGTTGTAGAATAATATTGTGCCATCATTAATTAGATCGGAAACTATTAATTTTTTAAATTTGGTTAAATTTATATTAGCAAGGACAGGTCCTAAAGAGGAATCCATAGGAGTACCGTCTTTACGGGTATATTTGGTGTCATTAAAAGAAAAGGCAGGTTTGTTGCAGCAATCTAAGATGAGTTTTTTCAATGTAGACTTTTTTAAAGTTGTTGAAATTATGTGTTCATCGTAAATGCGGTGTAAAACGATTTTGACTGTACGAGACAATGGAACGTTAGTAAAAAGGGATTCAACGTCGAATGAAACAAATTGATATCTTTCAGCGAACAGATGTTTTGGAATGTTATTAATGTTAGTTACTGCGCCAAAAGAATCAGAAAGGGAAAAGAATTTAGAGTTCTAGGATATAGTAGGGAAAATAGAAATTTGCCAAGGTTGTAGTGAGGAGTGTTAGTTGTGTCAATTATTGGTCTAAATTTTGGTAAAGTATCATACTTCTTGCCAGTGGCGTAGCTAGGAAAAATAGTCACTCCCGCCAATCCATCTCCCCCGGAAAATTTTGAAATCCAGAGCCTTGGAAACAGCATTTCCTGCGATTTCGAGGGCGAATTATTTGTTGTACAATAATTTATAAAAACCCATTTTTATTAGCTGCATTCATAATGTGGCAATCGTTGAAACTGCAACTAGTTAAAAAGGTACTAAAGGTGGCACAGAGAAACGTTACGCAGGAGACAATTGTCCCCTAAAACATAATTTACTCATCACTGCCCCTGCATAAACAGAAGAAATTTGTATTAGCACAAAAAATAATATAGTATACGACACTTCTAAAGTGCATAGAGAGAGATTTTTCTTAGCATTCTACTTGTTAGTTTAAACTTGTTTAGATTGGGGCAAGTAGATAGGGATGGCTTTATTCTTTAAAGTTATGCTTAATTTTCTCAATGAAGTACCATGTATTATACGAACAAATATCAAAACACATACTATACTCATCATTTATAAAGAAAGGCCAGCCTCCTGGGTTTTCTACAAATTTTCAACCACCTCGTTATGCAACACCTCTGATTCCTCTTTCTTTTCAATGATATCTTTGTGAATAGATATTCTACACAAAGAGCTAAGCCAACCTTGACCCATTCTATTTCTTAAATAGCTTTTACCCTTTTAAGCAAGAAAACGACCTCTCTACTGAAGCACTTGCCACTGCCAACACACCATTCAATTTTAAAAAATTTACCACTTGACCTAAACTCGACTGGAGATTAAATTTGAAGATGTATTTAAGAACCTCATTACTGCACTCTTTGTGAAAGTCCTTGTCGTTGTAAATGAAGGAAAGTTGACTCTCCAAAGTTTGGATGTCAAAAAGAGGACTATACTTATCTTTGAGAAGATTGATCTTCTCCTGTGGAACTATGCCCTTCCATGTAGTAAATAGTTTAGGATTTATAAGGTCTAAAAACTCGAACTGATTAATATCTTGAAATCGTTCACTTAACATGCCTTTAATGGAATCAATAATCTCAAAATAAAGCTGTTTGTAATTGTATCTACTATCTGCTCTGGTTGCTGGTGGGCCTACTTTTTCTAGTGCAGTTTGGTAAAACTCGGTGAAAACTTGATCTGTGCGAAGTGATACAATAAACTGCTTGAAATTGTCAATCTTGCTTATGTCATAATTAAAATGGTTTCCCTATTTTGAAGAACGGAATACAAAATTGTGGACTAAATCCTCTAAAATCCTGTAAAAAGCACACATTAGAAAACAGAAAGAGAAAGCTATCAAGATAATGCAGTAAGCCACCTATTTTACTTAATGACTCTACATCCCACCCTGCTGATTGTTCAAGTACCCTCTCAAAAATATCTAAAAGTTTTTCATTGTTTTTGTGCAATACATTGATTAATCTAGAGCAATAATACCATCTTGTTTCACCAGGGGCAGGAAACTCAAGGTTGTTAGATGTGAGAAAAGCTTTTCTTTTTGGGGCATTGCTTGTAAATGTGCTGAATGTAGCTATGTTAATAAAAAAGATTTTAACAGGAGAAAGTGATGAGGCTGACTGGCATAGGAACAGGTTCAATCTATGAGCTGTACAATGAACAAAATGAGCAAAAGGATACTCTTGTCGAACCAATGCTTGAACACCATTGATATGGCCAGACATGACAGAAGCACCATCATATGTTTGTAAAACCAGTTTTTCTTTTATATTAGAATACTCACCAAGTTTATCTTTGACAACTTGTGATATTGCTGTGGCATTTCTGTTCATACTTACATCCACAAATCCTAATTGCCTCTCCATAATTTCACTTGCTTTGTCAAACCGAGCAATAACACTTAGCTGCTCTTTGGTGGAGACATCAGATGCTTCATCAACCTGAATACTCATAAATG